ATAGATAGATAGATAGATAGATAGATAGATAGATAGATAGATAGATAGACAGATAGATAGATACACGTATATAAACAAACTAAAAAAACATAAAAAATCTAGATAATTACAGACAAACAGGATAAATAATTTACAGCTAAAATTAAATACTTAAAAGATAAGAGAAAATATGTCTAAAAACAAACAAATTAACATGTTTAAAGTGAGATCAAGGATAAATAAATAAATAAATAGAATAAGTAATTTACCGAAAATCATTAGATAAATTAATAATAATATTTAGAAATTATAATTAATTGATTTAAAGATTTAAAAATTGTCTATTTTCATGTCTATTTTCAGGTTTAAATGAATAAAAAAATAGGTTTATATATTTAAAGTGAGTTTAAGATCAGACAAACAGGATAATTCATTTACGTATCAAAAAATAAAACAATTAAAAACTAAAAGATTGAAAAATTGGCCTTTTTTCATGGCAATAACAGGTTAAAATCGATTTTAAAATATAGGTATATTAACAAATTAACAAACATATTAAAAGTTAGATTAAAGATAGGTAAATTAAATTAAATAAATTACATACCAGAAGATTTTTTTATGCTGCACTTCTAAAAAAAAAAAAATTCAAGAAGTTTTCCCATTGATGAACAATAAAAAATCTGACCAAAATTTCTCTGTGTGGGTTCATTGCCAAATATATATATATGTGTGTGTGTGTGTGTGTGTGCGTGCGTGCGTGCGTCGTTTTTTTATATTTTATTTTATTTTATTTTATTTCAGTTAACATTTAATTTATTTCAATTTATTTAAAAAACTCTTATGAGGGTGAATTATATTTCTCTATAATTGAGGAGTTCTGTTGTATATTGAAGTATAATTTCAGCAGAGAAGCAAAAAAGCGAACGCGTAAATGCTGCCGCACGTATATGGTGACCTTGTAAAATGTGCTGTCGGGCTTTCCGTAGTCGCGGCTCTCATCTGCTGTCAGTTGACGAACATTTCATTTTAAGATGTAGATATTTGTTTGTTTTAATATTAAACGAATAATGTCTTCGAAAGGGACTTCGCGAGGTTTTTATTTTAATACTGTTCTGTCTCTCGCGCGCTCTCTGGCTGCTCATCGACCCGCTCCGATTGACAAGGTGAGAGTTTTACTTCCTATTAGCATCTGAAGCTAACAGCTAACAGAACCAAAACAAATCAAAAATTAATCAAATATCTGACGTCCTCTCTTATTTATATAACATTTATTAACATGTATATCCAAATGTCAAAGACCAGCCATTCATATCGGCTGACATTTGCTTTAAACAGTCAATGCTTTGCTAGTTTTACGTTCTTTCCCATTTAAGAGTTGAAGAATTTTTGCCTTATTAATTAATACCCACGTGTAATCATCTATATAATGCGTTTAAACTAGAATTCAATTTAATAATCACTTACATCATTGCTTATTTTAAATGCTTTACTGATCCGATACAAAACAGTTATAGGAAATAATCAGTGACAGCATAAAACTATCAATTTTATAATAATAATCATAATAATGAATGTTCTAATAGTCAAATACAGAATATATGTGACCCTGGACCACAAAACCAGTCATAAGGGTCAATTGTTTGAAATTGAGATGTATACATCATCTGAAAGCTGAATAAATAAGCTTTCCATTGATGTATGGTTTGTTAGGATCGGACAATATTTGGCCGAGATACAACTATTTGAAAATCTGGAATCTGAGGGTGCAAAAAAATCAAAATACTGAGAAAATCATCTTTAAAGTTGTCCAAATGAAGTTCTTAGCAATGCATATTACTAATCAAAAATGAAGTTTTGATGTATTTACAGTAGGAAATTTACAAAATATCTTCATGGAACATGATCTTTACTTAATATCCTAATGATTTTTGGCATAAAAGAAAAATCTATAATTTTGACCCATACAATGTATTTTTGGCTATTGCGACTTAAGACTGCTTTTGTGGTCCAGGGTCATATATTTGTTGTGAGTGAAAGCTGTACTTTTAGATCATTCAAAACACAAATGAAACCACATTATGTTTCAGATTTGGTCAACTATTGATTTATGAATTTATTTCAGGCTGATGTTTTAGTAAGTGCTCTTTTTTTTGTCATTTATAGCTCAGAGATGTAAAGTATGCATTAACCCTGACACATCAAGTGCTGATATATATATATATATATATGTTACTGTCTGACAGGACGTGAAAAACCAGGTGTTTCAAGGGCGGATCTCTATAGAAAAGTCATTGTGACTCTGAGAGCAAAACATTTTCTGAGCCTTAGTGAATTTGTGCAAAAGGTGCTCTCATTTAAAACCAAGTATGCGACCCGCTGGTGTCCTAAAAGTCAGTTTTGCATGTGAGATTCTTTATGTATTCTGGTTTTCTGGGAACTTTTTGGCTACATGATGACATTTTGACCCTTACTGCTTCTGAAGGAATGATTTAAAATGATAATAAATTATAATTCTGAAGTGTACATGTTTACCTGAAAACAGAAAAAGGCTTGATCAATAGTCTGTTTTAAAGGGAAGTATGTTATAGACTTCCTTAAACCTTGGTGAACGTCCTTACATAATCATCATTACTTTTTTGTGATGTGTGTGCACTTATTGTGTGGTGTCCAGTGTTATTTTAGTATTGTTTAAAATGCTATTATAGTTTTAATTAATATTTTGAATTAGCTTTTATTTTTTGTTTTCATTTTGTTTTAATTTAACTTTTATTAATTTTGTTACGTGCTTTTTGTCTTTTTTGTTTTTTTTTATATTACTATTTAAGTTTAATTTATTTTTTATTTCAGTTTTATTTTTTCATTAATGTGCAGTTAGTAATTTTAGTGTTTCAGAGTCAGTTATTTTTTCAATTTCATTTTTAATTCAATTAACAAAAATGTGTTGTTGTTGTTTAGTTTTAGTTAACAATAATTACCCTGGTGGTGTAGTAGTTTGACGCATGATTAGATATTTATACAAATTAAAGTCAAATGGCACACTGGTTCTTTCTGCTTCTGCATGATTAAGATGGCACGTTTAAATACAATTGCATATTTGTGTAATATAGGTCCAGAAGCTACAATGCATGTGTCCTGTGGACATCCGTGGTGTTTTCCAGCTGGATGAGCGGAGGAGAGATGCTGTGATCGCCCTCGGCATCTTCCTGGTGGAGTCTGAGCTGCAGGTACTGGTTTAACCCAGTCACACTCCCCAGCTTCATTGATTAAAGGAATAATTCATCCAAAAATGAAAAATTCCTGTAAATATACCCTCCCTCAGGCCATCCAGGATGTAGTTGAGTTTGTTTCTTCATCAGGTTTGGAGGAAGGTAGCATTGCATCACTTGCTCAGCAATGGATGCTCTGCAGTGAATGGGTGCCGTCAGAATGAGAGTCCAAACAGCTGATAAAAACATCACAATAATCCACAGCACTCCAGTCCATCAGTTAACATCTGGAGAAGACAAAAGCTGTATGTTTGTAAGAAACAAAATAAAGTGTTTTCACTTTAAACTGTTGCTATTGGCTAAAATATGAGTCCATAATCCATAATAATTGCTTGATCTGTGCAGATTTCTCTCCTGATTCAGACCAGATGCTTTTTCACTATAAACAGTGATATGATGGATAGAGGATTTGTATTTTAGTCAGAAGCGACAGTTTGAATTTAAAACGTCCTGATGGATTCATTTCTTACAAACACACAGCTTTTGGCTTTACCAGACATTAACTGATGGACTGGAGTGGTGTGGATTACTTGTGGATTATTGTGATGTTTTTATCAGCTGTTTGGACTCTCATTCTGACGGCACCCATTCACTGCAGAGGATCCACTGCTGAGCAAGTGATAAAATGCTAAATTTCTACATATCTGTTCTCTTGAAGAAATAAACTCATCTACATCTTGGATGGCATGAGGGTGAGAAAAAATTCTCATTCATTTTTGGGTGGACTATTCCTTTAAAGTGAGACGAAGTGGGACATGTTTAATATAGTATTAGTATGGCGTTATATTAATCAAAGTGAATTCATTCATTGTGTTCATGAGCAATGATGGTCTGTAGTCCTGAATTGTATGTTTATGTACTCCTCCAGCATAAGGACACAATTGTCCCGTACTTGTTGGTTTTGCTGAAGGGATTACCCAGGGTGCAATGGATCGAGGAGAGCTCAGAGAGGAAAGGACGAGGTATAAAAATTCTGCCTTTTTATCACATTTCCTCATTTCATTCTCAGTTGTTCCTAATCTTACATGTCTCTCATCCTTGTGTTTTCAGAAACGCTTCCCATTGCGGAGAATTTCTCCTTCTGCTTGGTGACGATGCTCTCAGACGTTGCTCAAATGGACAAGTCCATGCGAATCCAGGTGTGTTCATGATGACTTTGCTTGCTGCGGTTTGCTTTGCTAATCTGAATGAATCTGCTTTTCTATTCTCAACCAGGATCGTAGTCAGAAGTGTGTAGTTCCTTGATTCTGTCAGTGTTTCTCTGATTATTATTTTTAGATTTGCTGTCCTATTGTATTTCAAAAGAGAAGCATAATCTCTCACCACTTAACAAAGGATCGCATGTAGAGAAGATAACTAGTTTATTCGTTTCTATTATGTCACTAGCTGAGCGGAATACAACAATACAGTGTCTCTCACAGCTTCATTTTCATTCATGTCACATAAATTATGCCGTGTCTCTACCCTGACTGAGGTCTACAGGGAAAAGAGCAGCACTGATGTATTTAGTTTCCTCTCAAATATCTTTCAGATTTTGGAGGCTGTGATGAACCTCATGCAGGTGCTTCAGGAAATGTGTCAGAACATCGAAGGCCAAGATAAAGGTCAGTAAGGTGCTATACAGAAACTTACTTTATTTTTAGTAGTTCATGTGAAATTCGTAACTTTCATAATGTGAGATAGAGCATTTATTTTATTCATCTGGGTTTGATTAGATCATGAAACATCAGCTGTGATTTATTGGTTAATATTTTATGATTAATAACACCACTGTACAAAAGTTTTACAAAAAAGTCTCTTCTGCTCACCAAGACAAAAATACAGTAAAAACTAATATTGTGAAATATTATTACAATTTAAAATAGCATTTTTTTTATTTGAATATATTTATATTAATTCTAATTAATTATTTAATTAATAATAATAATTATCGATAATAAATTGAACAGCATATCAGCATATTATAATGATTTCTGAAGGATCTTGTGACACTGAAGACTGGAGTAAAATTCAGCTTTGCATCATTACATTTTAAAATATATTCAAATAGAAAAGAGTTATTTTAAATCGCAATAATATTTCATAATATTACTCTTTTTTTTTTTTTTTATCAAATAAATGAAGTCTTGTTGAGCAGAAGAGACTTACAAAAATATTAAAAATTGTAATTAGTCGAAACATTTGACTGGCAGTGTATACAATTCAAATATATAATTATATGATATACATTATAGAATATGTAATTGTTTTTTTTCTTTAGAATAAGCACAATATGACAAGATACATTCATTCAAAATAAATTGAAATGAATAAAGAAAAAGTCAATTTTGATTTCATGTTGAATTGAAATCAAAATTTTGTTGTTATTCAGTGTGGAATAAAAATACTCTCTTCTGATTTTCCTCCCCAGAATACCTGTGTAAATACACTGTGCCCTGTCTGCTCGGCTTGGTGCGAGCGTTTGGCCGCTACAGCAACACAGAGGAGCCGCTGCTGTCTAAACTCTTCCCTCGGGTCAGTCCTCAGCCCTTGGGCACAGGAGACGGGGAGGAAGTGACCCGACGACGATCCTTTAACGATTTCCGCTCCATTCTACCCAGCTCGCTCCTCACCGTCTGCCAGAGCGACACTTTACGCCTTAAAACCAGCAGCATTTCCAGCATCTCGCAACAGGTACCGGATGCATTTTCTCCTTCCGCCAGGAGAGGGCGTCCGCATCTTTAAAATGAGAGTGCAGTGATCAGAAGTACAGGGTTTCTGTGCAATTTAAAAAGTCTTAATTTGCCCATCCACAAATTTAGACCTAAAATGTCTTAAAACAGAGCAGAAAGTCGTAATTTCATGAAGTTATGGTATTAAATGTTGCATGCACTGAACAAAAATGAATATTTTCCTCCATATTCTTGACTTGTTTTACAGTACAAACATTCATAAATCAAGATAAAAAGTGAAGATATGAAGTCTCGTTTTCTGAGAAATTAAAAAATTTAGTTTATGCTTAAAACAAGAACAAGTATCTGTCAGTGAGGCCAAAAAATAAACTTGCTTCCCTTTTGATAAGGGATTTTTTTCTGACCCCACTGGCAGATATTTGTTCTAGTTTTAATCATAAACTCACTTCATTTTGATGAATTTTTTTTGTGTCCCCTTCTATTTATTGCTTAAATTGTGTTTACTTGATCTTTAAAAGGTCCTAAAAAGTCTTACAGACACCCATGTCAGCCAGTGTCCTGTGATTAAAAACATGAAAAAAATACTCTAGAGTATCACATACATACTTTTGATAGGAAATGTTTTTATGAGAAGAATAGTAATTATAAAAAAATAATGTAAGTTCTTTGAAGCAGTTGTTATTTAAAACACATAACCAATATATAAACACACACACACACGTGAGATCACAATATTAAAAAATATAACATCATATAAAGTACTAGATTATATGATTTAGCATTTGTTGAAATTGTGATTTTGTTAATAATGATCTCTTTTTGTTTTCTAGGCCAGTCCAGAACGTGCTGGACTTCCTCCGAGTTCTCCTTCTGACCCTTCTGCTCCTTATTTTGAAGGTAATTTTAAATGTTATGATTAATAACACAACTGTACAAAAGTTTTTGAGAGAAGTCTCTTCTGCTCACCAAGACTGCATTTGTTGATCAAAAATACAGTAAAAACAGTAATATTGTGAAATATTATTTAAATTTAAAATAGCATTTTTTTATTTGAATATATTTATATTAATTGTAATGAATTATTTAATTAATAATAATAATTATCAATAATAATTGATAATAAATTGAACAGCATATCAGCATATTATAATGATTTTTTATCAAATAAATGCAGTCTTATTGAGCAGAAGAGACTTTCAAAAACATAAAAAATTGTAATTAGTCGAAACATTTGACTGGTAGTGTATACAATTCAAATATATAATTATATACTATATATTATAGAATATAGAATATGTAATTGTTTTATTTTGAAGGTAATTTAAAAAATAATCTAGTTTTTACTATTAGTTTTGCCTACTTAGACAGTATTTTTAGTGCGGATGACATGTTTGGACAAGCCTTTGATGCCCAGAAATGCTGTCTAGGTTTGATGGGTATTAACGTGGTTTTGTTTTTGTGCTCCAGCTGGCTCGTATCTGCCGGATGGCAGCGCTGTGGACCCCGACTACTACTTCTCCACCATAAGCTCCAGTTTCTCCGTCTCACCGCTCTTCACGGGCAGCAACAGTAAAGGGTTTGATGTACCGCTGGATTTACTGACACAGCTTCTGCAAATGGTCAGTCTCTGTAATGCTTTTAGCTGCTGTAGTATATTATGTGATATATTTTTGTTCACTCTTTTAACATTTTAGTTTTTCTCGTGTCGGATAGGTCGAGCAGTTTGTGTCAGAATCCTTTATGAAGGCACTGGATCAGACTATGGTTGAAGTCCTGGAGGTATCTGCTTTGATTTGGATGCTTCTGCTTTGTTCTGTTCAAAAGAGAATCTGCTGATTTCTGGACATTTGCTTTCTCTGTTACAGGCCAATGCTTCAGCGAATCTGTGCTACAAGACATTCAGTGATCCGCTGTATGTGGCCATCTTTAAAATGCTGAGGGACACTTTATACTACATGAAAGGTAAATTGTAAATAGTATGTAATGTATCAATTAAATTTTTAAAACATTTAAAAAGTGTTCTTTTAAGCAGTTAAATTAATTTAAGCTGTTAAATCATTTAACTTAATTATATATACATGTGAGAAAAAAAAAAAAAAAAAACGAAAATTTGACTGATACCTAGAGATAAATTAAATTACAATTTATTACAAATAAAAAATCTAATATGTTTTGTTTTATTATTATTATTGTAATTAATCTATTTTTATTAAAATAAATCACAAAATAAAATAAAATTACAATTTATTGCAAATAAAATCAAATAATAATTTTTTTCCTATTGTTATTCATATTTATTATTGTTGATAGTACTCTGATATCATTATCTGTTATATTTGTTATCTATTATAAAAATATGTATTTAAATGTAATTAATTTATGTTATTTATATTTATAATATTTATATTTATGATCCATTATATAAATATATCTGTT